GCCACACGCCATCAGGAACTGAGAGCCTGCAGGCACTTTGCTAAGTTCCCACACACCCACTGTAAGGTTAAAACTGCGATTTCCCCCATTTTACACAAGAAAACGGAAGCATAAAGAGAATGAATAACTTGTCCAAAGTCTGAGCTCCTCAGAGTGAGGCCAGGACTCAACCCTGGCTTTGTCAGATGAGTCTCTGCTCTCGAACACCATGCGGGTGAGTGGACCTGGCAGCCCAGTGTGGACAGAGCCCTGGGCTGAGGAACGCGCAGACTGTGCTCATTTTCAGCACCTTCTAAGAATAGCAGATCCCCCCCTTGACGCTGCTCCCCATCGACATCGAAACCAATGACAAAACCAGTTCTGACAGTTCCACTGACCTCTGAGAAACTGCTGGGCCTTCAGTTCCATGGGCTGGGAGTTTGGGCATAATGACGGAGTTGGGCATAATGACAGACAGATGTGGGAGGGAATACTGGTGGGGACAAAATGCTACCCCACAAATGTACCACACAAGGCTGCCACCACCGGGACCCCTCAGAAAGACCTCCTTCACCCTGAGCCCTGGCAGCCAGGAAGCCACCATGGTGGTGACGGGTTCTGGGCCACAGTGTAGAAGTTAAACCCAGCTGAGAGCCATTAGGCTGCGAGGTTGCATCTGCATTAACTTCCCAATGTTTGATAAAATTGGTCACTTAGTCAACGGGGAACAGGGCAGTTATGGTTCTTTATTTGCTAACTTCCATTTTCCTTGTTCTCTGCCAATCCTTAACTCACCGTCTGCCAAGCTTCCTTTAAGCCCTAGGACGATGGTTTTGCGGTCACCCTTGCAGAAACAAGCAGAAGCCACAGTTCTACCCTCAGTTATCAACAGCATTTGGAAATTTGAATCTTCAAAGGCTGAGCTCACCAGGCAAAACCCGTGTTTGGGGGAAAGCGGTTCCACCACAAAACAGGCACCCTGGTAGTAATGTTCCCTTAATTGGTACACCCCCCGCCTTGGCAATGGGCCTAAACACAGCCAGATAACATTCTGCTCCCGCACTTCTCCCATTCATTCCTTCTCCACTCATTCAACAAATATTGAGTATCCACGGTGTTCCAGGCACTGGAAGATCCAACAGGGTCTCTCGGGAGGCAGACTCCATCCAGAACCGAGTGAGCATAACCCTCCTCTTCTGCCCGGATGCTTCCAAAAGCCTTCTGGGGAAGTCAAGAAGGGGGTGCCCACGTAGGTATGGAAGTGGTACGAGGGAGGGAAGATGAGAAGAAAAGGTACTAAAGACAAACAAAACCGCAAAAAATGTTAAACTGCAATCCATAGTCTGCTGGTTAATATTAACACCGATATTATTATTTTTAAACTACTGTGCGTGTATGTGTATATACATACATATATATATATGATGAGATAATACAAAAATGTAATTATTTAATGTTGTTAGAAACCCAAACTGTCAGTGTAAAAGAAATCATATGAAAATCAAGGGAATTAAGCTCACAACACTGTAATGTTAGATTTGAGTTGGAAAGATCAACATTCTATCAGTCACATGTCAACAAGATAATGTGACATAACAAACAACCCTCAAATCTCAAAGCCTTACAACAGCAATATTTATTTCACACTCAGGGGTCGGTAGAATGGCTGCAGTTCAGCCAATCTCCACTGGGCTCACTGGGGCGGAGCCAGTTTAGGCTAGAATTCAGGCTCTGGGTTCGGTTCAGGTCATCTATGACATCCTCATTTGGGGGCTCAGGCTAAACAAGCAAGAGCTACCCATATATCATGGAGAGTGGAAGTTCCAAGAGGGCTGGTCAGGCCTCTCACTCACCACGTGCATGCTGTCACTTATGCCCAAGGCACAGGGCCAAGCCCAAAGTCAATAGGATAAGAAACAGACACCACCCACAGGGACATCATGACAAAGGTGAGGAGGGAAGGAAGAATGTGGAGAAAGAACACCACCTACCCTAATTATGAACTCATGGACTTTTCCTTTTATTTATTTTTTTATTACTTTTTTAAAGAGAGAGAGAGAGCACACAAACAGGCAGGGCAGAGGGAGAGGGAGAGAGAATCCCAAGCAGGCTCCATGCTCAGCACACAGCCTGACACGGGGTTCGATCCCACGACCCCGAGATCATGACCCGAGCAGGAACCGAGTCAGACACTCAACTGCCTGAGCCACCCAGGTGCCCCATGACTTTTCCTTTGAAAAAATAAGTATTTCTTCACCTTGTCCACCAAAAGGGCCTAAAAGCAACTGCAACCTCCTCTCATGAGCATCCTCTCACCCAGATTGTGGTTTCTGAATATTCGTCCCCAGTAAAAGAAACCAGCACCCCGAAGACACACCCGATTCCAGGTCTTCGGCAGGAATTGTACAACATAACACTGATATAGCTCGTTGTGCCAAAGAGCAAGGAAGCCAACCAAACCAAGGGGATTGTGTTAAAAGGATACACGTGGTGACCCGAAAGGGCTCCCACTGGTTAAAGACGGGACAATTTACATATCAAAAAGAACAGTGACTACAACTCACTGAAACAGAGGTTCCTAGCCCCTCTCTAACTCTATGGGATCAACATCTCCAAGGATGGAGCCCAGGCATCTGTATTTCTTTACAGATTCTGATGCATAGGCCGCACTAAAAAGCACCAGTCCACAGGCTTCCTGATCTTCTGCAAGTGCAGGTCACTTGCTCTCAGATGCTGGCCTTTGCTTCCTGGGAAGTCTTGTCAAACTTGTAACTGTCCTTATTCATGTCCCTCCAACTCTGGGGTGGTCCAGCCACAATGTGGCAGGCATCATCAAGAAGAAAAACTCTAGTTTTCAGTCTGCTAACAAGAATAACAACAGCAAAAAAGCTGGGGCAGCTCCCAGGATCCTCCTTTTAACCACAGTTTTGACAATGACAATGAGGAACAAACTCTTCCATTTTTAGCTAACGTAGATCCAAGACATTCAAGTTTGGGGTTTCTCCAGATACCTCAAAGGAATTAGTTTTCAATCCTCACTCTGTATCAGAATCACCCGGTAACCTTCTACAAAATGGGGTTGACTGGGCTTCAGGCCCTGACCCAGAGATCCAGATCCAATAGTCAAGGGTAGAGTCTGGGCACCCCATGTTTCAGAGGCTGCCAGGTGATTCTGATGTGCAGCCACAATTGACAACCACAGCTCCAAGCGAAAATCTTGAAAGCAAAACATCTCCACCTTAATGTCTTATCACAATTTGAATCAAGATATGTCTTGGATGAGGCACCTTCCAAACCTCAGTGCCCTGGGGAAAAGCCTTGGTCTGCCCCTAGCTGTGCCTCCAAAGAACTCCCCACCATTTTCCCTCCTACAATGAGCCTGAGCAGCCACGCCAGCTTCCCTGGGCACATGCAGGTTCAGGATTCAGGGCTCACGGCCTCTCCCAGATGCTCAGGACAAAGAATAAAGAAAGATCCAAATGTCTAAATGGCTCCAGATCAAAGCTAAGCAGAGTACATGATCACAAAGAGCTTCAAGCTGAGAACTAAGGCAACCATCACACAAATACTCCCCTAAAAGTCTCCAAGAGGTAGAGAGTTGTTTTATTTTTTTTTTTTAATTAGAAAGAACGGATAATTTCACGTTAGAAGATAACAGTAAAAAACTGGAAGTCAGCCAATTCAAAAAAGCAAACACAGCTCTGCTCCCCAAACCTCATGAACACAGCACGCGTGCATGCGCACACACACAGTACTATAAATCACTGCCATGTCTTCACATAAATGCTGAGCGCAGCTAGAAGTACTAGTTTCCTCCTAATTTGCAGTAGGTTAGATGCCAGCTCTCAGAAGGCCTGGATCCTTTGTCTGGTTTTGTATTAAAATATGCTGCTTTTCTCAAAGCCTTAACAGCTACCATACTATAAGAGGAAGGGCTGCATGTCAAGAGAGTTCTGGAATTCACACCATGGTTGCAGCAGACACTTTCCGACATATCTCCCCATGTACACCCCTCTTCTCTAAAATGTGCACCCCATTCACCAGACTGGGTCCCCTCAGCTGTGCTCGCTCATCTTGGCCACATACTCCTGGCCTAGGTCATGAAGCAGCACGAGTCACGTGGCTCAGCCAGGCTGGACTGAGAGCTGCTAGTCTCAGTCTGGAAGGTGGCCTAAAGGAGGATCATGTAAAAGCGAGCCCTTCGGAGAGGCCAGGTTGGACCATGCGAACAGACAGGAAAGAAGGGAGGAGAGCGGAAGAGAGGAAAAAGCAGAGACAAGAGGCAGAGACCGCTTGCATCTTGGTTGGCTCTCCAGCCGCCTGGACTCCACACTCATGGATTCCATGAAGTGCCCCTTTATCCCCATAATAAACTCTTCGGCCTAACCAGCTACTTCAAAATGGATTTCTATTACTAGCCAACAAAAAAAGAACCCTGACTAAAACAACTCTAAAGCCTTGTTATCAACTACTAAACATTTCCAGGGTATTTTTAAAGACCAAAACCAACTTTTTTCTCTCTATTGAATATGCTGTTTCTAAAAATGTACATATGCTCTTAATGTAAACATGTATATGTTTTGCTGTGGAAACTGGTTTCAAAATCAGAAACAAGGCAACCACCAGAATTTGGGATCAACAAAAAGAAAACTCTCCAGGAAAATCTTCCCTCACATCCCGTTCTTGACAGGGACCATTCTCAACAGGAGGAGCCTGGGAAAAAAGAATCAGTGTGGGAAGGCCTGGCTCAGGTATGGAGGCCCCGGGCACCAACTGCCCCCAGCCCTGCCAGGGTGAGCCAGACACAGTGACAGTCTCTGCAGACCCCAAACACCGGGCACAAAGAATGAGCACCAACAAGAATGAGAAGCTCCTGGATGCACTCTTTAATAGGGGCTTAAATCATTAATGTGTTTATAGAGACTTCAAGAGAGAAACCAGTAAGTCGCTTGGACATGGCTGACTAAATCATCTCCTCCCAGCCACAGTGTTTAGAACAATTTAAAGGACAAAGTACAGACCTCCGGCTGGATGGCTTTAAACACGGGTATGTCCATTAACGTGATCTGGCTCTGCAACAAAAGAGAATCAGTGTTAGAATATACTGGAAGTCAAAGGTAACTTTGAATCCATACAGAGTAATAACACATTCTCCCTTGAAATAAAAATCAAGAAAGAATGGAATAAAAAAATTCCTAAAATGCCTCTCCCAGCCCTTCCCCCTTCGTAAATCTTGACCCTACACCCTTCTTTCTTTAATGTGAGACAAACTCCCAATTTAAGAATTGATGATAGTCATTTGGAGGGTGGGACTGAGACTAAGGGGAACATTTTTAGTTTGGATATTTTTGTACTATTAGAGTTTTTGTTTCAAACATGAATTACTTTTGTAATTTAAAAAAGTTGGAGACACAATATTAAAAATTAGAACGCTAAACAGAGACACTATCTATTACTCTAAATTTAAATTTAAAAAAAAATTGTGGCTTATAGAAATTGTATATTTCTTCTGAAGTCTAAGTCTCCTCTAAATTATACGGTAGAGTGCTACTCGAGATGCATCCATGGACCCGTGCTGGACCACAAACTATTTACTCCACCAGCCCACAAGGAGATAACTACAGAATTTGAGAGCAAGCATTTGGGAACTTTTATAACAAATTGCCACAAGGTTTTTATTGTATTTTTTTTAAGTATCAGTCCTCAACAGATGGGAAATGAAAAACAACTGGCCCTTTACCACAGCTAGCTTGCGAAGCACTAATGTTGTAAACAAAGAAAACACACATCTAGTTAAAGGCTGTTCCCATTGTTAGCTGCTCATCGGGTGACAGTAAAAGAAAGCACCATTGCTGACAATCTTTGCAAGCCAAGGCATGCACTGAGCTGACTTTGCATGATCTGCCCATCTCTATAACGCCAGGTGTCAGTTAATAGACACCTCTGTGATAGGCCAGGGAAAGGAGAGCCAAAGGCATCTGGATGCCTCCGAACTCGAGAAGACACCCTGCCCATGGCACACATGTCAAAGGGGAGGATGTGATGCAGTGGAACGAGCGGGGGCTCTGGAATCAGCAGGGCTTCGGTGTGTGCCTGGATACCACCGCTTAACAGTAATATGCTCTTTGACACTTGGTTTAACCTCTCCCAGTCTCAGATGCCACATCTAGGAAATGGTGACAATGATCCTTATCTTATAGGATCCTTGGGAAAATCCAAGAGAAGAAGTGCAGGATGCCAGGCATCTGCCAGGTGCTTTCTCTAGACATGCGTATGTGTGTATACATACATATATTCATACATATATATATAGAGAGAGAGAGAGAGAGAGAGAGAGACAGAGACAGAGACAGAGACAGAAAGACCGAGAGTATCTGTCAGGTGCCAGGCATTCTGCACCTCCTATCTTGAATTTTCACAAAGATTATATATATATATATATACTGTGGAACTTGAACAACATGGGGGTTAGGGAAAGCAACCCTCCCTGGTCTAAAATCTGCGTATCGGGGCGCCTGAGTGGCTCAGTCAGTTAAGCATCCGACTCTTGATATCGGCTCAGGTCATGATCTCAGGGCTGTGAGATCAAGCCCCATGTCAGGCTCCATGCTTAGCAGGGAGTCTGCTTCTCTCTCTACCTCTCTCTCCCTCTGCCCCTTCCCCCACTCGTGCACTCTCTCTCTAAATAAATAAGTCTTTAAAAAAAAAAACCAAATCTGAATATAACCTTTGATTCCCCAAAAACTTTACTACTAACAGAAGCCTTACTGATAACATCAATAGTTGATTAATACATTTTGTTTGTTAGATGAATTATAAAACTGTACTCTTACAAAAAGGTAATCTAGAGAAAAGCAAATGTTATTAAGAAAATCATAAGGAAGGGAAAACACATTTACAGTACCGTATTTATATATAAAAAAACAACAACACCTGCATATAAGTGGACCCACACAGTTCAAACCTGTGTGCTCAAGGGTCAACTGTGTACACATGTGTGTTTATATATTTACACTTATATGTCACATATATGTGAAGTCACACAGATGAGCTCATGTATTGGCATGTGAACTTATGATTCCTGGCCAATACATGAGCTAAGAAATAAGGGAACTGTTAATTTGTTTGAATATTCAAGCATCAAAGTTCCTCTTAAAGGAAGCTGTTACTTAAGTCAACAAATAGTCATGAAAAAGCCTCATGTCAAGAATACATTGGAGGGGCGTCTGGGTGGCTCAGTCGTTAAGCGTCTGCCTTCGGCTCAGGTCATGATCCCGGGGTCCTGGGATCGAGCCCTGTATCGGGCTCCCTGCTCAGCGGGAAGCCTATTCTCCCTCTCCCACTCCCTCTGCTTGTGTTCCCTCTCTCGCTGTGTCTTTTTCTGTCAAAAAATAAATAAAATCTTAAAAAAAAAAAGAATACATTGGAAAAATGGCAACACACACAGTATGTCAAGTGTAACCACAGTCCAAGGCTAAGGTGCAGAATTGTGGTTGCCTCTTGGCATGATTTAAAGGTGGCCCAAGACCACTGGATTCCTGAGAAGCACAGGACGCAGGCCAAAGCATACCATCCTCAGGGCTGAGCAGGAGAGGGAAATAAGCAGGTGGCTTCTGTGGAGAGCCTCTTTGTCCCCTCCAACGGGCCAGTGCTGCCACTACGGAAGCTCAGCAGAGAGACAGCAAAGGCACCAAGAATAAAGAAACACTTGGGAACTGAGCCCTTCCACCTCTGGGTCTACCCACCAGTGGCAAGGGGGCAGTGGACATCAGCACAGGGTGGATCTGGTCCTCGTAATCTGGGCATTGAGGGATGACTGAGGCCAGGAGGCCCGCAGGTCTATGTGTCTGGCCCAGAGCTATGTCCCAGGCAGTGCAAACACACTGGCATTTCTCCTGCCAGACCCATGGTGATTGCTAGCCAAGTCCCCTCACATTTGGATTAATTCTGCCATCCTGGGGGAACAGAAAGGCCTTTTGAAAACAGGAGATTCACGCTGAAAGCTCTGAGGACCTTGGAAATCTCTCCCGCGGCTCAAGTTAACTCGCTATCCAGGAGAACTAGCAGGATGTTTGCAATGTCATTTAGGACGAGAACCAAAAGTCTGCTAATGTGAAAATGAGAAAACTTCCTCTCCAGCCTGCCGTCACTTCTAGGGTTTGCTACTGAATTTCCAAATGATTTATTAAAATAGTGGCTTTACATTTCACATTTTTTTGGATGGTCCAAGTTTCAAGTATCCTAATCCCTGCTCAGACCCTAAGTCAGAAAATGTATTCAGGTGTTTTATTCAAAATAAACAACAGAGGTCTCCAAACTTAAAATAGACCGGCTGGTCCCAAACACACAATCTGAGGGTTTTCAGAAGATTCTCTCCCATTTCTAACCTCTCAATTCTCACCAAAAAAGATGCAGAGTCCAGAACAAGAATATGTCAATACATAGGTAAAATCATCAGATTATAAATTTCATGTCATTTTACTACAAAGCCAAACACACATGGAAAGGTTGCTGATGAGCAGTCCTTCCCAGGAAATGTGGGCACTCCAAAGCAGGCAGTTTTACCAGAAAGGGAGGGTGTGGGTAGGGGTGGGAGCTTGAGGGAAGTCAGGTCCTGTCCCCCTTCACGGTGGCTCTCAGCCTCAGGAGACCCTGCCTGCAGGGGAGAGGACCCGGCTTCCTGGAGAGAAAGGGCACTTCCTACGGGTGTGGTGCAGCCTCCACAGAAATAGGACCATCTTGTCTACAAGCAGCACTTGTCGTGATGAGCACGGGACGATGCATGGAAGTGTTAAGTCTCTACACTGTACACCTGAAACTAACATCACCCTGTATGTAACTAACTGGAATTTAAGTAAAAACAATGAACGAGTGAACGAACAAATGAATGAACGAACGAAATCAGCAAACCCACCCCAGTGAGGCACACATGCCAGGACTGAGGCACACACTCATATGAACAAGTCTCTCAATGGCTTCTCCTTACCTTGGGAAACAGAGCCTTAACACAGGATGCCCAGTGAAGCCAGTCACCCTGGTGATGCCTTCCTTAATCCTAACTTCTTCTCCCATCTCCTCCTTCCTCCTAGCCCAGGGCCCCCTAAAAATCCAGGCTTCTTAGGGAAATGGCTAATCTCCACATATTACAAAACATTTCTGAGAGGTGAATTCTTCAGAATGGAGAGACCAATAGGATCACTTCATAATACGGCCCTAAAGAAAGAGGTGTTTCTATGTGAATAAATGAAAGCCACTTAGCCAAAAAGGAAACAAAAAATGTATTCTGCCTAGTTGAAGGTAGTGTTCTCTAACACTGGTGACTAAATCCCCTCTTCCCAGCCACAACCTTATATAAAGGCTCTCAACCCCCAAATAAACAAAAGAAGCTGTTGGCAAATCAGTGGCATATTTTATAACAGAAGATATCTTTAAATTTGCATTTAGATCACTCCACCAAATACATGACCAGGAGGGCTCATGGAACGAAAGGCAATCAGCTCCAAAGATACACTCCTACTTCTACTCCGAGAGTCACAGGAACCATGTGTCTGGCAAATTTAGAATCATAGTCAAGGAAATGCAAATTAAACAGGAAGATGCCATTTGTCCTCCCTCAGTGCCATCAGGAGCAACAGGACTAGAGATTGCTCTGTTCTTTTTGGGAAACAATCTGGCAGTAACCCATTAAAAAAGTTCTTTAACTGGATTTTTTTTAAAAAGCCAAACTTATAAAAAGTTGCAAGAATAGTATGATGAACTCTATAACCTTCCACCTAGCTTCACTAATTAACATCTTGCCTCATTTGCTTTATCTCCATGTATATAATTATACATAAACACTTTTTTGCAACCACTCAAGAATAAGATGCAGATATCATGACTCTTCACCCCTAAATCCTTCAGCATGTTATTTCCCAAGAACAAGATTGTGCTCTTTCATAATGATAAAATTATTACATTCAGAAAACTTATCATTGTTATAATAGTATCATCTAATATTACAGTCTGCATTCAAAATTTGCTAAATATCCCAATACTGTTTTTTATAGCAATTTTTTCTTGATACAAGATCAGGCATCGCACTTAGATCTTATCTCCTAAAAAGTGAAATGAGCATACTGTTGACACAACATTCCCTACACCTACGGAAAGAAGAGCACTGGTACATAAGGAGACTTTATATAGAGATCTACATTTAGATACAGATAGAAAAATACATGTTTACTGCACCATTATTCGCAGCAGCAAAAATCTGGAAACAACATAAGAGACCATGAAAAGGGACTTACTGCAAAAAAAATTATGGTATATCCAGACTCTGGAATATTACGCAGCTATTAAAAAAGAGAGAATTAAAGGGGCTCTTGGGTGGCTCAGTTGATTAGGCGTCTGACTCTTGATTTCAGCTGAGGTCATGATCTCAGGGTCATGAGACTCTGAGTTGGGCTCCATGCTCAGTGGGGAGTCTGCTTGGGATTCTCTCTCCCTCTCCCTCTGCCCCTCCCCTGCTTGTGCATGCGTACACACTCTCTTTCTCTCTCTCTCTCAAATAAATAAATCTTCAAAAATAGAGAATTAAATCTACATATACGGACCTAGAAAGATGTCCATGATCTACTGATAAAGTTCCAGCACTGCTTTTTACTTTGCTTTCAGCATACCGCGGAGTAGAAGGATGGAGATCTAGCTGTAGATCTCTGACATCAGCTGTAGCAACATTTTTCTAGATATGTCTTGTGAGGCAAGGGAAACAAAAGCAAAAATAAACTATTGGGACTATAACAAAATAAAAAGCTTCTGCAGAGCAAAAAAAAAAAAATCTACAAAACTAAGAGACAACTTACTGAATGAGAGAAGATATTTGCAAGTGGCATATTCAATAAAGAGTTAGTATCCAAAATATATAAAGAACTGACATAAGTCAATACCAAAAAACCAAATAATCCAATTTAAAAATGGGCAGAAGACATAAGCAGACATTTCTCCAAAGACATCCAGATGGTCAACAGACACATGAAAAGATGCTCAATATCCCTCATCAACAGGGAAATACAAATCAAAACCACAATGAGCTATCACCCCACACCTTTCAGAATGGCTAAAATCAAAAACACAAGAAATGACAAGTGTTGGCACGGATATGAAGTAAAAGGAACTCTCTTGCTCTGTTGGTGGGAATGTAAACTCATTCAGCCACTGTGGAAGACAATGGAGGTTCCTCAAAAAACTAAAAATAGAACTACCCTACAATCCAGTAATTGCACCACTGTGTATTTACCCAAAAAATATGAAAATACTAATTAGAAAGAATATGTTTACCCCTCTGTTTATAGCAGCATTATTTACAATAGCCAAATTAAAGAAATAGCCCAAGTGTCCACTGGATAAAGAACATGTAGTATAAATATACAAGGAATACTATTCAGCCATAACAAAGAATAAAGTCTTGGCATTTGCAATAACATGGATGACCTAGAGGGTATAATGCTAAGCAAAATAAGTTAGAGAAAGACAAATACCAGGATTTCATTCATATGTGGAATTTAAGAAACAAAACAAACAAAGGAAAAAAAAGAGACAAAGCAGAAAACAGACTCTGAACTATAGAGAACAAACTGATGGGGGGATGGGAGGAACAGGTGAAGGGGATTAAAGAGTACACTTATCATGATGACCTTACTAAGTAATATATGGAACTGTTGAACCACTATATTATACACTTGAAACTAATATAACACTATATGTTAACCATACTGGAATTAAAAAATTTTTAATAATTAATTAATTAAATAAATAAAATCGCACATGTGATTCAGATTATATTCCTGTTAGAATAGTATTGGTCTAGAATGCCAGCCTTGGTTTTAAATCCCAGATAGAGAGTGGCACTTACTCTCTGTGTGAAGAAGTGGTTTTCCTCTTTAAGCACTGACTTGCTCATCAGTAAACTGGGAATAAGAAATATACCTAATTTATCAGGCTGATGTGAGAAGTAAATTAGATAATGCATGTAAAGCACTTAGCATTAAGACCTAGACATGGGGGACGTGTGGGTGGCTCGGTCAGTTAAGTGTCTGCCTTCAGCTTAGGTCATGATCCCAGGGTCCTGGGATTGAGTCCCGCATTGGGCTCCTTGCTCAACAGGGAGCCTGCTTCTCTCTCTGCCTGCCGCTCCCCCTGCTTGTGCTGGCTTTCTCTTTCTCTCTCTCTGACAAATAAATAAAGTCTTAAAAAAAAAAAAAAAGACTTTCTTTGAAAAAAAAAAACAAACCTAGACATGGCAGGTGTTCAAAAATGGGAGCTGTCCTTAATATGACCATCCAGCATTAGGTGAATAATCAGGAGATGAAGGTTTTAGAACTGGCTCTGCCCATACCTGGCTATATGATCCAGGCAAAAAAAAATTAATCTCTTAGATTCTTCACTTCTTTATTAGAAAATCAGGAGCTAATAATCTGCTTCATTGGGTTATTCTGAAGACGGAATTCTTTCAGCCTACATGTATTCATTGAGTACCTACCATGAGCGAGGCACCATTCTGGGCACTGGGTAAAAAGCAATGAACAAGTCAGATAAAATTCCTGTCCTTAAAGAGCTTCTATTCCAGAGGAGATATATCACAAAAAAATATTATTATATGATGTAACGTTGGGTAGTAATAAGAAATATGAAGAAACTGGAGCAGGGTAAGGGAAAAGAGAGTGATGGAAAGATGCCACTTTAGCCCAAGGACAGAGACAGAGACACGTGGAGAAGAGCCAGTAGGAGTGACGGAAGAGAAGTGCAGGGCCCTGCAGCAGGGGGATGCTGGGTGAGTCTGGGGTAGAAAAAGGGAGCCAAGGTATAGCTGGGGAGCACAGAGATGGGGGCAGGAGAGGACACTTGGCCAGACCACAGGGGGCCCTGGAGGCCTTGGGAGGAACGCAGGGTCTCATTCTCATACGAAGCAGCTGCCAGAGAGCTTTACACAAGTTTTTAACTGACCCTTTGGCTACGCTGAAGGAGGTGATGCCAGGCTCAGCATGGCACAAAATAAATGTGGGGGCCGGCGGTGGCAGAAGGCAGAGATACGGCCCAGTTAGCTCCCCCAGCACCCTGGAGGGCCCGAAACCTGTTACACCAAAGGGGACAGGGAGGAAGTGGGCACGGCAGGAAACACGTCAGTGGTGCTGCAAAGAGTTACAGCCCTGGAACAGGGCTTGCAATCTGGCTCCAGGTCACCCCAGAGGCAATATACTCCTCTACCCTCAAAGCGCAAAAGGAAGAAACCAACTCATGGCAAACCGAGAAGCCAACTCTGCGTCTCCACCACAAGAAACAGCCCTCAGTCAGACCAGCAGAAACACACTGGTTGAAGAAAAGACAACTTTAAAAAAATGTATTATTACAAAATACAATTTTCTATCATAGAAAAGTCATTATAAAAATGTAGAAATTAAACAAAAAGAAGAAAAATTAAATTCCAATTAACTAGAATCCTACAACCAGAAGTTACAGTAAATAATGTTTGTCTATTTATATCCAGATAGTTATGAACACGTAAACATCTAATCTAGACCTCCTCTTCTGCAAATATAAGTATGTGCGCATTGCACGTGCTTTTTAAAAATGGCACTGTTCTCTATTAATGGTGCTGCAACTTGCTCCTTTCACTTAATATTCAAATATAGTGTGCATGACTTCCAAGGTGGTTAATTCTAGATTGATGGCATCCTTTTTAATGCTGCTTAGTATTTCATAAAGAATATTATATCCCAGAGTCCCTACTGTTGGGCACATGGGTTGTTTCCAACCGGTGTTTGCTACCCCCCCATCACACCCTGTTTCGGTGCCCAGACACCCACATCAGTTCCGTTACTTACAGCAAACTCCTCGGGACTCACTTTCAAGACATCGAAGACAACGGCATCATAGCTCTTGCTGGCATAGTCGCAGCTCTGGCCCTCCAGAGAGTCTGAGCTGCTGCTGCCCTGTGGAGGACAGGGAGAGAGGGGCCACCTGAGCAGTCGGGATGACTGCAGACTCACTGACTCCCACACCCAGCCCGAGGTCGCAGGAGTGACAGCACCGTACAGTGAGAAAAGCTCCTACTGCTCGCTGCCTTACCCCGTTCTGGGCACTGGGCGAAGAACTTCATACACATGCTCTTGTTTAATTCTTATAAGAACTGAGGACATGCTATTCTTATTCCCGCTTTACAGATAAGGAAGCAGAGGCAAGGCCGCCTCCCCCAAGGTATCACAGCCAGGAAACAGAAGAACTAGGAGGTGAACCTAGTTTCTCGTCTACCTGACGCCAGATGTGTACCCTCGGTCACTACCCCCAACTGTTTCCAGCCCGCTGTGTAGCTGGTGGGGTAAAAAGATACAGCCCACTCCTCCTTCAGAGAGAACGGGACTTCACAACTTAGGAGGCCTGAGGCAATCGTCTGTCTTGTTCTGTCTCTCAAACATTACCTGGTTTCACCTTTGTTTTTTGTTGTTGTTGTTGTTGTTTTTCTTGAAGTCACTGCAGGAAATTCTTACACAAAATGTTGAACTGGCTCTCAAGGCTTATTTCATGTATGGGCCATTTGGAATTCAAAGCCAGTTTGCTGATGAGGTGAGAGGTAACCAACTGGCTTTGGAGACGGGCGTGAAAGTTAAATTTAGAAGAGTCCCTTATTAAGGAGAACACCATGAGCCCTGCATGTACAGAAGGGGTCTCCCATAAAAAAAGCAAGTTAAAACTCCCCAAATGGGGCCAGCTTTATGAAACTCAACACTGTGGGGATCCCAGAATGTTGAACATACCTTCTCTTTGATTTTATTTAATTTCATCAAATTCTACTTTGGGGAACCAATCAAGCTTACCACCCAAAAATTGTGCCCTGTTCATAAATGGTTTCATTCGTCTCAACCCATGAAGAGGGATTTTGTGGTTTCCATTAACCTCAATATCTTGGACTGGGATTTAGAGAACATGCTTTTATTAATTCTTCTTTATTTCACTCTTTCCAAAATGGCTGTATCTGGAAAAACTTTGCAATCTTACTGGAAACTAGGGTGTTTTTAGGCCAGTGAGGGAAACCAACAGTCAACAACTGAGAATGTGGGGTTAAAAGGAGGAGTGGAAACTCAAACCTGTAGATTTCAGTAGACCTATGTCATTGAAAGGTTTTACGAATGAGGCGGCTCTACCCAAAACTAGATCTAAGACGATCTGAAGCAGCAGCACATCGCGGTGGTTAAGAGTGCTGAAGTCATGCCCGGTGGAAACGCCAGCTCCACACAAGCTACTTCACCTGACCGTCTCAGCTCTCTGGAAACCGGCACCATTGGCACCTCCTCCCCAGGGCTGTGGTACAGGTTACATACGATGAGATGAAGCTAACAGAGCAGCAGGCAGAATCCCCCTCCCCGGGAGATGCTGGTTCAAGGGGCCTGGGCGGGCTCAGCCATGGCTATTTTAGAAGTTCCCTGAACGATGGGACATTCTCCCCTGAGGAGGATCTGTGCTAGACTTTTGAGAAGTAACTAAGACGAATCCTGAATGCCTCTAAAATTGGCAGTCTGTTCTGCCCCTCAGTCTTATGCACAGACTCCAAGCAGGCGAATACCTACAAGTCACTCTGAACTTCCACACCCACCTTCCAGAAAGAGACCGAGTCAGGTGACAAGGTGGTTTTCCTCAGTGTAGTGTCACCAGGGTTAAGAGCACTGGCTTGAGAGTCACAGGGGCCTGGCTGTGAATCCCCACCCACAGCCGACCAGCTGTGTGATTTAAGCCAGTTTATTCACTTCCTCCTGCCTTAGTTTCCCCATCTATAAACTGGGGGTGAAGCAACAGTATGTACTGTTGTACCTGATCGAGCTACTGTGAGGGTCAGTGGGATGACACCTGTGGAACATGCAAGACAAGGCCTGGCAGACAGGATGCGCTAAATTATGGGGGTGGATGTGTGTGTAGTGTCATTCATCACCAAAATTTACTGAGTACTTCAATTATACATGTGTTCTCTCAACAACTACGTGAGTACTTACCATGTTCCAGATACACACACATAGGCACACACACAGAATATATACGTGTATATGTGTACATGTGCGCACATACACACAGAGAGATCAGAAAAGACAGAAGTTTTACCGTAGATGAAGTGTAAATTGTAATGAAAACAGAAGTCTGATTCCTCCAGTTACCAAACAGTCCATTCCTGGGATTTCAGGTTTTATAACTTCCCTGTAACACCCCACTGCATCTGCCCCAGACACATACGCTCCTACAAGAGGCCTTATTTAATCCAGTATTGCCCCAAGTACATTCGTGGTGGTGGTGATGATGAGGCAGCGACTTCATTTAAACCTATATTGGCACCATCAGGGAATTTTAAAAGGTACTCACAAGTCTGTTTTCAGAAGCAGAGATCAAAATAAGGAATTTTTTAAAGGTTTACAAGATATGAATAGGTTCCTGTGAATTTCTAGCCGATCACACAGGATCATTTCAAAAGCCCAGCTCAACTGTGAGGGACTGAGCGTTCCCTTGCCGGTGGTCAGGGGAGCCAGGCATTACACCTTCGGCAAGGTGGCATCCCTGGGCTGATGACACCCACTCCCTCTTGCATGCCTCTGTTCCGTCACTGCACTTGGAAAACAAACCCCCACCCCCCCAAGCCCCGAGCCAGGGGCCCTAGCCCAGGCCACTCTCTGACCACCAGTCCTTACAGCCATCTCCTACTGAGCAAGGTAAACAAGAACAGAGGGCCAGTTGGAATCACTTCTGTCTGACTCCATTCTGGAATATGTGACTTATTTACAATCAGCAGCAGCTTTTCTTGGGAAAGGTCTGATCCCATCTTGCCACCAAAATGGAATGTGGCACTTGCTACACCTGGACTGGGCAGGTGTTTGCTTTTCTTTGACGAGAATGACTGCAGAAAACCTACTGATCCTCAGGGCTGACTGCCTCCCAAATCTCACGCCTGGTGTGGCCAAGGGCGTCGGGAGTGCTAAGAATGGTGGTACTCATGGAGCCTTGCTGCCTTGCTGTCCACAACTTAGCTGGGGCCTGGGTCCGCCGAAAGGAGTCCCCCTACCCCCACCCACTGTCCCAATCCTCACAGCCCCTGTACCTGTGGAGTGGCGGAGGTGACCAACACGCTAGCCATCAGACCATTCCTCTTGTACATAGTCTCCGGGCCGCAGGGAGCTTCAGGGCAGCCTCCGTTGGTGACATAACCTGTCTGGAGAAGTCCTGCAAGGCAAGGGGGCTCATGAAAACCAGCTTCAAACTCAACTTAATCCCACCGTGGGGGTGGGGGTGGGGGTGACGTTGTGCTACACTTGAACAGAAGATCCCAGAGATGACCTTTATTATTTTTTTTTAAGATTTTATTTATGTATTTGACAGAGAGAGAGAGAGAGAGCACGAGCAGGGGGAAGGGCAGAGGGAGAAGCAGACTCCCCGTGGAGCAGGGAGCCCGATGCGGGGCTCAATCCCAGGACCCTGGGATCATGACCTGAGCCGAAGGCGGACGCTTAGCTGACTGAGCCACCCAGGCGCCCTGTGACCTTTGTTTTAAATGAAAGCAGGCAAAGAAGACAACGGATTCTACACTGTCTCCCCATGCACTCGATTGCTTCATCAGTAACAAGGTGATAACGGCTAATACTGACACAGAGCTCGCCAAGCGCCGTGCACTTGACGTACATTAACTGACCCTCACAACAGCCTCAGGAAGGTCCTATTACACCCATATTACATGTGAGGTATCTGAGGCACAGAGAGGTTAAGTAACTCATGCTTTAGCGCCTTCGCTCACATCGTCTCCTGATCCCATCATCATTCAAGGCCCTGCTCAAATGTCATTTCTTCTGAGCATCATGCCTGGACCACTCGAACCAGAACCAGATGCTCTCATGCCGATGTGTACATACCTCCAGCAGAGCATTTATCACATCACTGAACATCACAGAACTGTAGCCGCCACCTGCTTTTTAGCAGGAAAGTGACCAGGAAAGTCGGGAGGATGTAACAGGGCAAGGAAAGGAGAAGGTAGAGGGCCCAGCAGGAAGCCAAGTGCAATTATCCAGGCCAGAGCTGAAGGTCCTCCACGCTAAGTGAGGTTGTCACAGTGAAGTCAGACAAAAGGAGACAGACTGGGAGACAGCAGGGGCAGAAACTATCTCCCCCAGACAAGGGAGAACGAGCTGAGGATGAATGGTGTCTGGCCTGAGGTGCCAGAAGGATGGTGTGTCCCTCCTCAAGGAAAGGAACAGAGGTGATGCAGCAGATTTGTGGAAGATAACGACGAACTTAATCTGGGATATATGCCGAATATATGCGGTGCCGGAGAGAAAATCCACCCTGGAGGGCAAGTCTCGCCCGAAGCCCACTAGGGAAGATGGTCTGGAGGAAGACGGAGAAGATCTCTGCCCTGCCTGTGACCCTGCTGGAGCCTCAGCCACAGGGCCCATGGCAGAGCAGCGAGCCGGACGGGACGGAGTCGAACACCCGAGAAGGAACGTCAGAGCACCGCAGGCTCCAGCCACGCCGGGCTCCAAAGCCACGATGGCTGTTCCCTCAACCGCTCCGCCGGCTTCCGTCAGCCGCGTCGCCGTCAGCGACAGCCTGTGAGCCATCCACCTTCCCTCCTTTCTTCCCCCAGACACTGACAAGAACCAGTCTGAGCTATGAATGACATTTGGGGGCCAACTGGGGACAGCTGGATATGGACATTTTAGATAATATCGAATTACCATTCATTTTCTGGGGCACGAGAGCAGCAGTAGGGAGATCAAGTAGGAGAAAGTCGACCTGGGTGACACGTGGGACAGAATTCAGCGCTAAAGTGAGTTTGCAACTTAGTTTCGAATCAATCTGCGAAACACACTGAAGTTGAGATAAAGCAACTACGGCAAAATGCTAACAACTGACATCCACTCACAGGAGTTCACGGCACTAGTCTCTCAACCTTTCTGAATGCGCTACCATTTTCATCCTGGAAAAGAAAGAAAGGGGAAAAAAATCACAGGTCGGTTAAGTTTTTCCTCAGAGGCCAAACTCCTCTTTCTCGAGCAGGGAAAGGGGTTGGGTTAGAGGCACTCATTTGTTAATCGTTTCTGTCCCCGGAGAAGCCATGCGGGCTATTACCCAGGACCCTGAGCCCATGGCTGCGGCAGGTTCGGAAGGCAGCTACACAAAAAATAGGAAGAGACCTTTAGCAAAGGAAGGCCTAGGAATGGCAAAGGGACATGCCCCAGGGAAAGGAAAATCAAAACCACAGTGAGCTACTGCCTCACACCTGCCAGGACGGCCATAATGAAAAAGACAGTAGCAAGTGTTGGCAAGGACGCGGAGAAATGGAGCCCTCGCACCTTGCTGGTAGGGAGGTGAAAGGTACAGCTCCTTTAGAAAATAGTTTGGTAGTTTCTTAAAAAGTTAAACATACACTTACCAAATGACCAGCAACTCTATTCCTAGGTAGCTACCTTAAAATAAATGAAAGCATATGTCCGCACAAAGACATGTACGTGAACTACTCATCAGAGCCAAAAGCTGGAAACAATCTAAGCGCTCCTCAACTGCTGAATGGATCAACAATGTGATATATCCACACAGTGGAATATTACCCAGCAATAAAGAAATGAAAACCATAACATGAATAAACCTCACAAACATTATGCTTAAAGTGAAAGAGGTCAGACCCAAAAGACTGTGTTGTAGGGTGCCATTTTCGTGAAATGTCCAAAAAAGGCAAATTCATAGAGACAGGAGCCCATCAGTGGTCGGCAGGGCAGGGAGGCAGGACTGTCTGCAAATGGGCACAAGGGATTTTTCTGACGTGACGGAAATGTTCTAAAACTGGATCATCGTGACAGTCCCACAGCTCCATAAAGTCGCCCGAAGTCACAGAATCGTACACTTGGGATGGGTGAATTTTACGGTATGTGAACTACGCTACAATGAAAGCAGCCGCCACCAGCTTGGTTTCGTGGTGGTGACCTGAACACCCATGTTTAAACTGCCCCCTTCCACATCCCTTTGAAATAATCCAAGAAATATTAAAACAGCAAAAACAAACTACATTAGCGCATGACAAGAGAGAAGGGTTATTAATAAGCAAAAAACTTTGAGGAATTTCCAGTGCAGAAGAGACAGGACCACGAGGGGGGGAACCAGCCTCTGGAGCAAAGGGAAGGCCTCCCAGGAGTCAGATGAATGGGACCCTCCAACAGACACCCCATGAGAAATTCGGAGACTTCAAAGTGGGGAGTCCAGAAACTGAGGCTGAAAAGTAAGACCAGCTCAAGAGCTCAAAGCAGCAGCATAAGACTGGCTCAAGCCGCAGAGCTGTCTCAGACCAGACAAACCAGCTCATGTGGACTGGGAGTCGGGGCCGACCCAGCTAGGCTCTCAATGCCAGAAGCCACCAGCTTGTTGGATGGGTCGTGTTCAGATCAGCTCAAGCCAGACTGAAGTGACCTGACTCAAGTCACCATGGCAGGAGGGCATGAGAGACAGCCAGCCTGATGCTCCTCGTGGATCCAACTTGCTCCCATTCTAGGCTGACATGGGCTTCACTCCTTTCGGGGTATGCCTGGCACTCTGCGGGTCTTCACAAAGGGGAGCCCCAACATGGAGCCCAATCTGCTCAGCCTGGCCCCAACCAAAGTCCTTGGCTCTCCCCAGTTGCCTGACACCATAAATTCTCAAGTCACACAGCCTTTCAACACAGGTGCCACATTTTATTCTCACACTCTCTTCCATGACTAGTCATTGGCGCACTCCCTGCATCCTGTCTGAAGGATGCCACCAGCTCTGCCCATTTCTCCAGCATCACTGGGGGGTGCACTTAGGTGCCCCTGTCCACACACCACCAGCAGCACGCCCAGGGAACAGCAGCTGCACAAAGCTGGGGTAGGTGCTACATTTCTAGCTCATTTCATCTTCACAACAACCCCAGGCAGGGGAGACTCTTCCACTCCTGGAAGCTTAGGCTCTGAGAGGTGATGTAACTGACTGCTAGTTGAGTGGTAGAACTAGGGAGTTCAAACCCTGGTCTGTCGACACCAGTGCCTGGGCCCGGGCTTCCTCCAAGAGCCCACAAGGACCCAGCAAGAAATTGCGTGTAGAACATCCCACCCAGGCCAGCCTCAGACCAAGCACTCAATCAAAGTTACTAGTTACTATAAGTGTTAATCTAATCCTACAGTTCTATTCATTTATAGCTATTCTTTTTTCCTAAAATAATGAACAAAAAATTAACTGCAAGAAAGCCCAGCATCATGCTGTGAAACCATAGGCCTCCCCTGCAGGAAAGGGGTTCCCAGCTGTGGGCCCCAGGTGTCCCGGGAGCACAGGCTGAGTCCAGGTGTCTAAGTGCAGGGCTCCTCCTCCAAGAGGCCTGATCTGCCCACCCACACCCCTCTGGCCCACCTAGAGACAAAGCACATCAGCCGCAGTGTGTTACTCCTTACGCTTCCTATGGGGAGCCTGGGCTGGAAAGAAAGAGCACTTGTTTGAGATCTGACTCTTGCATGTCTCACCATGGACACAAATAGCCTAACTTATGGGCAGTGACTCTCAGGTAAGTGATATTTCACATGCTAAGAAACAACAGGACCAAGCAGAACAGATTATCCTTTCCAAGGCCCAGAGAAACCCCCACCCATCCACCTTCAGTCCCTGAGGCCCAGCCAGGCCCCAACTCCTCATTAGGGACCAGACTCCCATAAAGGGAATCAGCCTGGCCCAGGCCCCTGAGAACTGCTTCCACACCCCACAGGAGGGCCCCTGATGACAGCTGCCATGTCTCCCAGGCCAGACTGACTGGACCAGAGTGGCCACCTGATTCTCCTAGGAACTCAGGACCCTGAGACACCAGTCTCTGCTGGTCAACCAACCTGAGGCACTGTGGCCTCACTTCTAGGGGGTGGCCAGATGCTGCCTGGTACGGGGAGAGTCAGCCAGAGTGTGAAGGGAGCAGATGAATGGAGAAGCTGAAGGCAGAGTTTGTGTCTAAAAGAAAAGGAGAGCAGTGGACCTGGCTCCCACCCCCGGGCTCTGTGGTAGATGCCTCTTTTTCAGTGGCAGGTAGTCAGAGTGGCTTCCAAAAGACCTTGACCAGGGCTACTTCCTAAACACCAAGTTCAGGCCAAGCCACCAGAAACCTGACCCCGAAAACACAGGGGGCTCATCTGAACGGTGAAAAGATATGCATCGTTCATTCACTCATCAAACTCCTACTTCAC